CCGTGTTGTGCTGGATGCCGAGATGCTTGGATAACGCAGAGCGGCCAAAGACAAGTCCGGCGCCTAAACAATACGAGAGCAGTTGTAGCTATTTGTATCAGCCGCATGTTTGTTGACTCTGGATGTCATGTTCCTGGAGCTCCTAACACAAACGGGTTGGCAGGCAACATACTCAACTCATCATAAATTATACAGTCGCCCGGTCGCCGCTTGCTTGCCTTCCATGTCTGAACAGCGAGCTCCCTTTCTTCCAATGAGTTGCTACAAGTTTCACGCACTCAAATCTGTGAGGCTAGTATAAATAAATTTATTTCAATTATATCCCAAACCAGTATCCTCTAAACCAGGCGCTGGGAATCTTTACAGCAACATTTCTTATTTCTAGATTCATTATTACTCTGGGCAAATATTTTTCTCTGACCGGTATTCGGTGGCCTTTCTTTTTGTTATCTCACAAGTTGCGTTGTTTCATTTGTTTATCGGTATTCGCGTACTCATGAACTATGCAGTGTACATTGTACATGCTTTCAACTACGTTATGCCTTTTGACCCTTTTCCAATTACCACTACACTCAGCATCAATCAGCCTAAATGCTGGTATTTCTTCATGAATTTTACTTCTTTGTGCATATTGAAGAAAAAATGAATTGTACTGGTTTAGAATTTGTACAAATCCTAGCCTAATATTTTTATCGGCTGCGGTCTCTAGCTGCATGCATACCATATAATGACTCGTATGTTGTTCCATTATGAAGGGGTAAAGAAGGAACGGTGATGTTCAAATGAGCACGCGGATAAATCATTATTTTAGAATTAAAGTAGATGATAATATTTCCTCTTTATCCATATCTCCCTTCTCCACGTTTGTACTAGATGCGCAATGCCGCATCTAGTACAAGCAGTTTAAATTTTTTTCATTTAAGTTTTCATAATTCATAGATGAATTATAGTTTATTCCATGTAAACGATAAACCTTCTAATCTGAATTGCAAATTAAGTCTTCGTAAGCCTTCCTTCAGATCGTCCAGAAATGTTTTACTTGCTTTTATGCTAATTGTGATCTGATATTTGAATATAACTTAACTGAATGTGTTCTACCTGAAAATTAGGTTTAGCTACGATCATTTGTTAATATCAGATTTGAGCTTCTGAAATTTGGAAGGGTTGACAAGCCTGCTGGCATTGCGTGAGCTCATTACCGCTCTAGTGGATGTAAATCAAATCCTCGTTTAGCCTTTTCGCGGGCAAGCTTTGATATATGCAAAAATTCTAATTTCTATATGCATCACAAGAATGTATGAACCATTCTAAGATATATTTACTCATGTGGAAATTCTGTAATTTCTGAAATTCTGCATATTGAAGGAGTAAATCGCAGATGAAGAATTTATTAAATAAGTTCACTACATCAACAAAAATAGCCTAATTTAACTCCCAGAGATGCAAATGTAGAGGGTAACTATCCCTCTACAGGCAGGTCAGCAGCTGAAGGCTGACCTGCCTTCATGGCCTTGAAGGCAGCTGAATAGTGCCATGAAGGCTTGAGAATTTTTATAACAAAATGTATGGCAAAGTTTTCCAAACATATTGAGTCTATTTAGAATAATTGCATATGTTTTTCCAAGTTCATCGTCATCGTGACCACGACCCTTGGCTGTCTTGCCCTCGTATTATTCAAAACAAACTTCCTGCAGTTGTGTACAGAACAGTCAGTTGACTAGAAACCAATGTAAACGTTTTGATATGTTGAATTCACTGCTATCCTGCCTTTAAGAATTCCATCATAGGATCGCAATTGTGGCTGTGCACTGTGCAACCAATAGAATTTTTATATATTTCGCTGTCACATGGAGGCCTATTTTGTTGTTAAGTTTTCATTACTCAATAGTGATTCATTATAATACTATGGATTGAATCATAAATAACGACGTAATTACTGAGGCAATACCCCATCAACTAGCCACCCGTTTTCGAGCGTAAAGTTTCATGCAGAACATTATTGTATCCGGCCACTAACAAATCGTTATTTACAAGAACGTAGACTGAATAATATCTGTTGAGTTTGTAAAATAATAATTAATTAATATTTGATTTGAAATAAGCAGTTCTTGAAGAATAATTACAAAACGTAGCAATATCACCCATTCAGAAAGCGTCATGAAAACGAATAATATTCGCACCCTCCTACACTCTAGATCAGGAGTTGAGGATCCTAATAGGAACTTCAAACCTCATCTCCTAAATTCTAGTCTGTCAGCTTCATTTCAACTGGTCCTTCAATGCAGATGACCTATTCTCGTTCTTCTCTAAACATAATAAAAAATTCAATCATAAATATTTCTCTCATTTGAAGCCTGCATGAGTTTGTTTGTAGCTCGTGTGTAATGTTTAGTGGCTATAAGTGTGCCTTAAGTAATTGCCAGAACCTGAAGTATATCGAGAGAAATTTTTGAAATTTTATTTACGCGGTGACGCCGGTACCACTGTCTATTTAGAAGAATCATTTTGACTAGGTTTAATGAATCTTGTTAGGTCGTAAAATAGAAACAAAATCCATGAAGCTTACTTGTTTCGTCGACTAATATAATTACTTTTTTCTCGTAAACATTAGATTAATGGTCAAGATGACGCAAGGTTTTCTCAATCAACAAAATTTTATTCGTTATTTTGTCCATGTAGCTTGAATAAAATAAATAATTTTTTACTATTGAATAACAAATTTTCAGAACTAGGTTCATAAGTGGACCGTGAGTTGTGCTATATTACTCGTGACAGAATTGGAAGCTAAATGTAAAGCATATCCTTTATTCTACAACAGGGTGCGACTCAATGAAATAGCTGTTTGAAAGCATTGTTTTCCCGAACGTCGGATGAGAAACTGATAGCACTTATTTCGAGACATTTGCAAATTTATCTGCCCTGAAAGAATGTTCCGTTGCTTCATCTACACAGATACAAACATTATGCTGGTTGTGTATGAATAAAAAAAACTCCTTCCTGCGTTAGTTTCTGGTCTTCTAATAGGCCTAGCCATTTATGATCAACTGTCCACACACCGGAAGGCCTTCTATCTGCTGTGTGTAGGCAAATATTCATGCGTATACTATGGAAATATTTATCTCGTAGTCCGGTCATGTTATTGGCTTGGCAGTGATAGTTAACTACCGGCCATGTGTCTCCTTGTTTAAGATAATTACCTCTACGACCCGCCTATAGAAAATGTGCCTAGTTTCTCAAATAAATTTTGCCGTTAACTGTGCAAAAGAATTCAATTGGCGTAGTGAAAATTTAATTTTTAATTTGTGTATTAACAGTCTCGTGACTTTGAATAACATGTAATCCAATAGAACGAGGATAGGCGAACTTCTATTTACCGGAGGTCAGATTAAAAAGCTGATTGTTGTCCGAGGGTCTTATGTATACGAAAACATCTCTTATATTACAATTACAACAAACATCAGATTAGTATAAGAATTAACTATAATAACACAGGAGAACATGATGTTAGTTGGACTGAGTTCGATGCGCCTTTTCCGGAGTTTTATTGGTGCAAAACTAACAGAAAATTTATACTAAGGTGAAGTCGTCATGTGTTTATGCATTCTGGCTGCATAGTTTACAAACCTTACACAGGCCGAGGTTTGGACACCCCCACCCCATTATTTCGCTTGTACTATTTTGCTTCTTTCGTCATTGTGATTGCCATATATAAGCCCGTGTTTACTCGTAATTTATATAATATAATAGCTTTTGCCGATTGGAGTTCTGATGAAACCGGATCACAATGATCTAGATTCTAGAATTTATCTTCCGGCTTTGCTCACGGCGGTCCCGGGCAAACGGGACGCACCGGACGGCAGGAATTCTCGACATGTTAGTCGACAAACCGATGTAGAAGAGTGAGGTTGTGCATGTGTGACGCTCCTAAGCGGAGAGTGTAGCTCATGTCCGAGGATTCGACTTGTGATTACTTTGAACTTGTGGTGTAATATAGTTTTTTCTGGTGCTTCAAAAACTTACAGTTGAGACGCTATGTTCTTCGAATGAAATAGATGCCTGCATTTTGAATGCTAAACGCAAAGTTGAAACGACCTAAGTGACTTGATGGGAAGACAGGGTCGCATACCTTCATCACGTAGGCACTTCATTTGTGCTCCTCAGATCTCATTCATTGAGCTCCTGCTATGTGGTGCCTACTATAAAACATTCCAGTATTGAGCTTCGCACGATTAGTCTTGAGATATTGCCGCTAAATGAAACTCATGTCTCATGCTGTGTCTTTTTACTCGAGTGGAGATCAGTCCCGTTATTTAGTAATTCCTGTTTTGGATGCCCCTCACTCTCAGTCGTTTTTCCCAAGAATTGTTTTAAACCTGTAGTACGGTTTATCGAAATTATTTTCGTAGATTTCTTCTGCACTTGCGAGATTCAGTAGTTTTGAGCTATACTTTTATCTGTTCACTCAAATTTAACTTTTTAAGTAGAGTTTAATCAAGTTGCAAATTAAAATATGGCTTAATTACAAGCCATTTTTCCGTAGATAATTTGATGATTTCAATGATTCATTCATGATTCGGTTCTCAATTTAATCATGAGGTCTCGAAAACTGTGAAGACCTCTGGCTCTTGGTATATTGTTTCAGAGGTCTAAATAGCATTTAATTATTTTGAGTTGTAAATAAGTTCGCAAAAACTATAAACGCCTGATTTTTGTAGGTATACCTTATGTATAGTCGTGCCTGAAAAGTTCGTCATTCATTTACACTTGATATTTCACAATTTTTCCACAATATGTAACAATTACAATTTCACAATTTTCCACAATATGTAACAATTACAATTTTCCACAATATGTAACAATTAACAGTTACAATGTCAAAATTAGAACTACCTTATTGCCAAATACTGACCAAGTCTTAGTTTGGGGATTATTGTCCAAGTTTGAATCATCGTTTACCCTAGTTGACTGATGGCATCTCGTTTAACTCTAAATGTTTTTCCAGAAAATTTGAGCTTTTTCTCGTTAAAGTCCTTCGGTCATGTGCGTCATATTTGTATCCCAGTCATCGTAAGACACTAGTCATTACAATTTAAATTGTTATTGACTGTATTATTCTTTTTATTCAGAGGTTGCTCGGTGCATTGTGAACCAGTGTTTCAGCAATAATACTCTTGTACTGTGGATGCGATTCATTACTGCTGTGATTGCAGCGAGCATTTTATCGTCGCTGAAACTAAAGTTAGGTTGTGTGTTTGAGTTGAAATGGGTCGCCTAAAGCCGTGGAACAACTTACCTCCTGTGCTGCAGTACGGCAGGTACCGTCGTCTGCTAGAGAGCGCCCGGTCCACAGCTCCACTCGCCGACTCCAGCGATGACGATGTCAGCGACGCTATACTCGATACTGAAAAAAGAGATAAGAAATCCAACAAGGCAGCTAAAAGCCACCATACTACGAGGAGGAATAAGAAGAAAGATGCAAGTCGACAGCTCATACAAGAAAGTTTCCAGGAGCTCATGTCTTATTCCTGCGGCCAGTGTGGCCACGTCCAGACCTTGCAGGTGATGCTTACTATCTTAATTTGGATTTAGTGTTGATGCGAGCATTACGTTCGTAATATCTGTGTCGAACTTTATTCTGATGTCTTGCTCAAAACTTTATTTAATCTTTCTTTTATGGTCCTCAATTAAATAAATATGTTTATGTGGTGAATTATTAATTATTACTCCAGGTGTATTAATTTCCTCTTTTCCTACGGTGAATCATGTATGTCAATGTGAACATCCCATTTCATGTCACAGAAAATTTGTGGGTTTCTTTGAAAGGAAAGGTCAATCCTGTGCTCATACACTATAAAAAAGTGCCAATGTTTATCATTAGGTAAGGTTACCGAGGGCAGAACTGCCTTATGAAGGGTTAAGCATAGATGCAAATAGCGCGCCTAGCAGCAGCTGCCCCGGCGACTGGGCGGCCTTCGCATAGCTTCATAGAGAGCCCCGCCTGCCCCATCTCTTGCGCCCAGGCTTACGCCTTGCTACTTATTCAATAATATTAAATACGACGCAATAGCGCCGCATTCAAGTGTTTATAATTTTTGTTATCTGAACATAGTAGCCAGAGTGTTTTTAATTGTTTTTTTAATTATATTCGTTATTTTCTATTCAATTTAGTTTTCTTTCGTAACGTTTAATTAAAAGTTCTGCTCCTTAAATTCTCTATTTACGTATGACCGCTTCTGGTGTTACTTATAGCGGATTGGTTAGTTTCGAAACCGCTACAATTCAAGAACTTAGAACGGGGATTATAATACGAATTTGCCGAGGATAGTGTTTTAAGTGTATTTTGTAAAGTATGGAAGTTGCACCTCAAGCATTGGCGGATCAGGCTGTTATGATCCTATGGATAACTGAATCTACGAACAAACAAAATGTCAATCTTTAAGTAGCTCGGATGGTTTGCGAAAAAATCAAATATTCTAGAAAATTAATAAAACTGATAACAGATAAATAGTGTCCCTACATACTCAAGCATGGATAACCCTTAATTAAGTGAATATCGTGAAAAGTGAAGGCATTGGACATTGGTGAGGAATGTGACACAAATTGTACATATTTACGTACATGGAGAATGAGAATATTTGAGTGATCTTTGATCTTGTGAACTTTGCAGCATCTTGTTAGCAGGTAGTTCGTTCTCCATTGCCGTGCTGGGCAACTCTAAAGGTTAAAATTGCTATCATATCTTACTCCATCTCCACCGTCTCCTCGAGTTCTGAGTTCACCTCAACGTTGTTGTCAGGTTCATTCCGAAAAAATACGAATTTATGGCTGATTGTGCTCGTGCAATTTCATAAATTCTGGAAGCCGTTAACGTGCGACAATACTCATTTGCAATTAACTTGAAGGTGCGATTTGTAATTACGATCGTGGAAACGGAGCCCGGGATATTATATGCATGATCATAGATTATTTGCTTGATTAAAATCTAGTGACAGCGGTTCCACATTTGACTACAATTGTAGCTCATTGTTGTAGGATTGACAACAGTTGGCTGCGATAGTTTCCTGGTTCACTTCATGTAAAGTTTGAGAAAAAATCACAAAGGTCCCATACACAAGACAATTTTCAGCATGCATGTGTCAAGTTGCCTACCTATGTCAGGAGCTCATGTCGAGATGCGCGGTTTCATCTACGGAAATTTCCTACCACATTTGGAGGTCGTCGTTATTGAGTAGGTATATATATACATTAGTATTCTTTCTCCGTGTACCTCGTTTTGTTAAACGAAAATTTTTTTAAATAGCTCTCGATAAGCGACGGGATAGATTTGAATTATCCTTTATTTGTTCTGGAGGTTGTTTTATGAATCAATATAATTTTACACTGCATATGTGATCCCTTACTACATTCAGGCGACATCATGGAAAGATTGACGCTTAATTTTTTTGTGATCACGAATTTGGTTTCATTCGTAATTTTTTCGGCATTTAATTTTCAGTGTTCATAAAGTGGACACTCTTCATAAAATGAACATGCTTTACATGATTTTCAAAGGTATTCCATGTCTGGCATCGTTCTCTCCGATTTTTTATCGCTCTTGTAACGACATCGCGTCATTTTCTTCTGCCGTTGTATTCTCGAAAAGCAAATTCTCTCAAAAAAATTAATGTATATCTTTTAAACGCGTATTTACTTCTATTATATGTTTCAGGAACTCATCTGTTCAAAAAGAATGTCAAGTTTGCAGTGTTTTGCATTTATATATTATCAGTGTTAATTAGTTTGTGGGCAAGTGTCGGAATCTTGTGTCTCTTGTGGCTTTGGTTTGGTTAACCGAGACCGCCGGAAGAAAAATTCTCTCTGGTCGTGGCCAAAACCGCATCTCGAGTTGCCTCTTTTCTCATTGTAGTCACACCAGCCTATTTTATTTGGAGTAATTTTCCTGGAGATTTATTTTTTGTATCGTTGCATGCGATGCTCCTTAAATGGCGTTCTGTATTAAAATATCCTTTTTCTTTGAATAATAACCGTTTTTTTATAATATCGCCTCCCTGAAGAAGCTACTTTCGAAATTCATACACGTTTGAATTTGATTGAAATACTACTGTATCTTACTGCATATTTGGTAATACTGTATACAATTCTGTATCTACAGAATTGTAGTAACTGAAATCCGAAATCAATCTGCAATACGTGCATCATGGAGGAACGCGCTCGCGAGCGCGTTCATAGCATGGCCGAGGCTTGTGAGAAGCGTCAGGCTTACCCTACACATCGACATTCTTTTCACGGCCGCTGACCTGGTGCACATTCTGCCTCCGGGACCTTCACGTGATACAACTTTTGCCTCGGCACACTCACTGCGCCCTGCATGCCGTTGAATTGTTTTCATACTTCAATAACACTACTCGATGATGTTCATCCCTGGTAATCTTTTATTGAAGCGCTGCCTAGTAACAACAGCTGAGCTGCACGACGCTGAATAAGATGGTTACCATCAAGCCAGATGGTCCGATGCAGGTAAATTTTATTGTTTAGTGAGTTAACGGGTTTGTTCCAAGGGCATTTACTTGCGTGCTCGAACACTGCTGGGATGAAACTCATCAAGAATATCAACTCTATGTTCTAATTTACGTGGGTGTATCATTTTGGGTATTACAAAATATCCATAAAATCTTTATATTTCCCCTTCATTTCATGTCTCAGCTTCTGTCTTAGATACAAAATTTATCGCTTGATTCATTTTTGATTTATTAATTTTTTTCATTTTCCCATATCAATTTTATTATCACTTTTGATTAAGATCTGTGCTCCGAAAATTGTTCTCAGTAGTGAAAACATTTCCACAATCGTGAAACTTTATTTTTTGATTTCCTAATTATGAATTTTTTAACACTTAGCATTCTTCTCAAAGAGAAACAGCTCTTGCTCCGACCTCAGCTGGTAGCCTTTTGACCTTTGCCACATAGAAGGCGTAGCGCCACATTCTCTTCTTGTATTAAACACGGGCCATCTCGCACGCAGTTCGTATTAACTATAGCATGCACACGAGCCGCAGTTCGTATCAACGCACTTCGCACGCAGGAATTAAAGTTTAAATATAATTGGAAACTATGATTTTATGTCGTTAACATTTATTACTTCTAATCATTTTAAAATCTATTTCCAAATTGAAATTCCATACACGTAGTCAAACGGTTTTGTTTTTATCCACGCTACTCTTTGTTGTTGCACAGGTTTGGTTACAGACTCACTAGTGGCAAAAATTACACCGCAATTTTGTCAAAAACATTTCGTTTATGTGAAATCTAAAGGACAGTTTTAGTTTGAGTCAAGACTTCATTCATTTCTATAATCTATAGTACAATTTGAACGCTTCCGCTGCTTTCTTAAATTGCTTCGTTATCTACCTGAGTATCCGCTGCCGCTACCGTCCCTTATCCTCGATCTTTGTCCTGCCACTCGAATGCTTGAAGGCAAGACCCTAGATCGCCCCTGCGATCTCTAGAAGAAACCTTTAGACCCGCGGGTCACCACCTTTGTTTTTCTGCCCTTCAACTTGAGCTTCCCTAACACTCGCCCCGCTTCCGCCGACTGCTTGCTGCTGACGCCGGCTGCCTGCACCTGCTAACGGATTTACTCACCCGGCGGCTCGTCTATCGTTTTAAGCCTGATTATACACTGAGTTCGTGTTGAGTTTAGTTCGTAATTCGACGTTGGTTTTGTCAAAAAAAAGTTGTATTCGAATTTATTTGTTTTAATGAGATTTGCTATAAAAATAGTTCAATCCGTTGTTGAAAAATTACACGTTCAACTGTTTTTTTTTGTGGATCCCATTACTAATTCTGGTCTTAACTCAAGAAAGTTATTCCCTTCATTACCGATCATCGGCTGCATGAATTGTATTTAACATTCAATTCCAGGAATCCGGGAACAGAATAAATAAACAATATCCAACTGCCTACCTGATATTGGACGCATATCATAGATTTTTGCCAATTCCGGCGCTAGCATCATTTGATTACGTAAAGAATAATCTCTAAATAGCGCATGCGGTGCGCTTGGCAGCGCAGTTCAGGCTACTGATGTTATGCGTGGAAGCGCACGGTTGTGGCCATGTATGGAGCCTCTCCCACGCTCTCTGGCTTCCTGTTAGCATCGTCATCATTGCAGCTCCTCCTGCATTGCTCGTTTCATTCAAATTCATCTCACACCCATTAACGTGTTTGCCAAAACTATGTATTTGGTACACCGTACGTTTGAATTTATCAACTGGTTACACGGCTGTTCAATTTATATTTCAAAGTGCAAGTTAACATTATTCAGAATATCTTTATTCAATATCAGTGTTCGTTGCCATTATTTCCAGTTTTCAGCTTATCTTGAAGCTCTGTTTCCACTGCATTCTTTCTCGCTGTAGTGCCTTTCGTTTCAATGTTCATTATTTCTCGTCTATAACTCATTTTGGCTTCTTTCCTTCAGAAAATATTTCAATAGTATGGTCTAGGAAGAAGCCTTTCATTCAAGCATGTTTCATTAAAAATAATGCCGGTTTTGTTTAA